TACTCTTAAGCAGTAGTAATAATAAACTTCTTATATACTAATATAAGTAGTATATTGCATACCATGTAAGACTACTAGGTATATAAAGTATACTTGAAACTGATAAGCAAATGATAAGGCTTCTTTGCCTTTGCTTCCTTACATTTAATTTCCATGAATTTAGAGATGTAGAATCCATATAAATGATTAAGTTGATGTATCTAACACTTCATAGTAGTATTAATTTTAATTTTTCAGATCTATTTTTCTTTATAAGCATTGTAAGATTTATCTGTACTAATGTTTTAGCTATTATTGCAGTACTATGTTTGTATCTGGTGATGCTTCCCTTTTCCAGGAAAACCCTTATTTGTACAATATTAGTGCTACTAATATACTAGTATATTAGAACTACAAAGAGCAATTTATCAAATTTTCTCTGTTTAGTCTGGTTACTTAAATTTGGTAGCCACCCATAGCTAATTTGTCTTTAAATTGTCATTGCTTTACACAACAGTTAGCTCATAAACAGTAACAGAATATGCAGTAATGAGAATTGTAAATGCTGACTCTTGTTTCTAGAAGTCTCACACGTGGTGCTAGACCAAGGGCTGCTTCAGATGCTGCCAGGAAGTTAGGTCACCCGTGCTGGGTGACAGTACCACAGGACAGTTTTTCAACTTTTCCTTCTTAATAGCAGTACCAGTGGAAGCATCTACGTTTGCTTGCAAGAGAATGCTTTAGTCAATAGTATCTTTGCTTTAGCAGGTATGGTTTTATTGAATAATGGGGTCCAGGTGGGGAAAGAATACATGATATTAAATTCTGCCATCTTTATCCTTTTTTTTTTTTTCTGCACACACTGGGTGTGAAATAACTGCCTTATGATTAAAGAACATGCATATTGTATAGTCAGAATCAGCAGCTAAGGAATGGCAGAATTAAGGTTGCACGGACAACGTGTACTTGGGCGGGTTGTAAAATGCTCGTTCAGTCCATTGTAGGGCTTGTGTGTGCTTGTGTGAACATGCCCATGGAGGCAGCAAAGAAGGGAGAGAAAAACCTGCCTGTCAGTGCTTGCTGGCCATGGGAAGTTGTGGCCACAGGGGCTGTTTTTATCAGATGGTTAGAAATGAATGACTTCACGGCTGATATGTTGTCATGATGGCTGTGTTTTCGGTCTCTGGGTGCAGAGGTTGCTGCTGTAGGTTTTGAGTCATGGCTAAGTGCTGTGTAACCACGCTTGCTGCTTGTGTGTGATGTTCTTAGGACAGCCTGATTTGGAAAGTTTTTGCTGGACTGTTGCGGCCCTGGAAGAAAGCTGCTAATTTGTATTTTTGGCTTTTGGCTTATAGTTTTGGCAGGGCCACACAATGTGTCCCATGCTTGGCAGCAGTGACTGCCTGGCTTGAAAGCTGTTGTGCATTTAAATCACCCTGCTCAGCTGGAACACTGCAAGAGGAGTTCTTGTTTTTGTTTTGGGGTTTTCACTGTGCTTGATGTTTGGAAAACCCATAATGTATTTTTGCCTTGTTACATGTTGGAGAAACTTTAGAAACCCTGGATGTTGCGTGGTCAGCTGTGTGCAGTGTGAAAATACTTCATTGTATTTTCTGCCAGGCAAACATATAACGTGAACTACTTTTAAGTGGGTCTTTCCTAATTACTTTTCCTGGTAACCCTCGAGTAAACTGGAAGGTTTTCTAGGAAACACAGTGTAGGACCCAGTACTACAATAGCTGTGTAATAGGCTAAGGGATGGGACCAAACTCTTCCTTTTTTTATTTGTTCGTTTGTTTATTTATTTATTTTAACCATAGTTGGCAGCCTCTGTGGTGTCCTGTCATTCAAAGGCTGCAAAAGGGACAGATTTCTGCAGAAGTGTCAGTGAACCCATATATGTTGACCTGCTCAATGTCTATTTGCCAGAGGCCCTGAGGTGGTAGCAAAGACATACAAGGTTGTGTGCCACCTCTAGCCTCCTGCTCCCTAGCGCTGCAGAGCTGAGGCAGGCCAGGTCCCTAGGGCAAAGCCAGCCTGGAGACTGTTCTGAGTAATCACAGGGGTTGTTCTGACACCCAGGTGCTGCAGGAACGCTGTGGCCCTCTGTCCAAGCGTAACAAAGGCATTGAAAGCCTTGGCAGGTCTGTGGAAAAGCATCTGTACAGTGCGAGTTCCTCCTGTGCTGGCACAGAAGGCACCGTCACCGATATTACTGAAAACTAAAAATGGTTACAGCCTTCTAACAAGGAGAGGTTATTTTGTGAGAAGAGCCGTGGTTCTTGAGAGTGAGAGAGTGAGTCTATTTTAGTGGTAGTTGGAGGGTAGTGTTATAGCTGTTGTGACATAACTGCCAAAGCTGTGTCCCTCTTCAGTAAACTTGAATGTGTTTTGTTCCTGCCTAATAGACTATAGTACTTTTAAAAATGACTGTAGAAAACCAGGCTAAGTGAAGCCCTCAGTACTCAACCAGAGAAGAATCACAACACCCTCTGCTGGTATGAGTGGCGGCTCCTTCCTCTTCTCCTCAAGGACTTGCCTGGCGGACATCCTAGAAATAGGAAAAGGCAGTTCTGAAGTGCAGTGCTGGCTCCTCTTGATTAAACTGAGTATTTTAAATCATCTGTATTTTTTTTTTCCTGTAGAAACTTGATAGGTTCATCTCATCAATAACACTACTGCTAAAACGGATGGGGAGCAGGTGGTGATGGTTTTTCTCCACTTTCATATGTGGGAATTCATGTTACTTTCTCGATGTACAGAAGCTTACTCTTGTTGGCAAACTGACTGAAGTTGGAGGTTCTGTGTGCAAATATGCTTCTGAAGACAACGTCCATCCCTTCGATGTGCTGATAGTTGCCAAATCCACTGGGTAAACTTGTGGTTTTGTAGAGTAACCATGTGTTCCTAGCACCTTTCCTAGAGCTTATCTCTACGTGCTTGCTCAAGATTGTAGAAAGCCTCTGTGTCACTTGTCAGGTGATGAGCAGTCAAAAGCAGGCAGGCTGGCAGATTAATTTATTTATTTTTGTCTCCCCAGTGCATACAGTCATGCTCTCAAACTCTTGGTAGGCCTGTCGCATATTAATATCCACTCCTCTGCTGCCTTCTTGGCTCAGGATGACCAAGGAGGAAATCACAGGTTAAGATGGGGAGTGGACACCTTTTTAATTTCTTCTTATAGAACACATCTGATGCCTGCCTAAGTAACCCTCTGCATGTTCCTGACCTCCTCCGCCTTCTCTTACCCACCTTGCCTTAACATGCAACAGATCATGGTAGGTGCTGCCACTTTCATTCAGAAGAATCATCTTCACCCACAGTATATTTTTTTTATGGCAGGGTTGGGACAGTGTGGCGCTGACCTCCCCTCTCTCCTGCCTGCAGCCTGAGGAGGATGAGGGAGCCTTCAGAGAGCAAGGGTCTGTTGCTGCAGTGCTCGGACACAGAGCCCAGCACCGCTCTGGAACATCACAGTTTAAGCTGGGGCAGGGAGCAGGGGGCAGAGGGCTGGGGATGGCTGGCTGGGTGTTCGGTATTAATAACAGTACCATTCCCAGTAAATGGCTGCTTACATAATTCTGTTATGAAAGAATGCTGCTGGTTGAGCTGAGCTCCTCTCTCTGGCTTATGAAAGTATCCCTTCAGCGTGCTGGTGATGTTCTGCCGCCTGCATGAGAAGGGTTAAGAGGAGACAACATCCTGTCAAAGACCTTGTTTTTAATTTTGCCTCTCACACTGGCACAGATCCGGCTAAGAGCAGCCCAGATTAGTTCGGAAAACCTTTGAAGAGATTTAAGATGTCCTTCAGCCAGTTTGAAGGTTTTTGTCTTGCAAATCCAGTACAAGGGCGCCTGCAGGCATCTCGACCCTTGCTGTGCTGCTGATGTAGCTCAAGGTCACACCAACCCGCCCTGTGACATTCAGCAGCACACACACACACAAAATTATGCGGTGAAACTGCTTCAGCATTCAGCCAACCAAACAACTTCCTCAGTTCCTCGCTAAAGGAAGAAGTGTGTATTTTTTTTCTTTCCTTTTTTTTTTTTTTGTCTTCGTGGATTTTTTTTTTTTTTTTTTTTTTTTTTTGCTGCAGGAAATAATCCAGGATTTCTGGTGTGTGTGATGACAAGGTCATTTCTTAATTAGAACACATGTAAAGAACAAAGCTAAATGGCTTCAAAACAGCTTTGTAGTTGATGGAGAGGATTTAAATTATTTAAAGAGATAGTCACCCAAGTATGATGGAAACTGAATTCTAAACACATTAACTCTTTCAGTACTCTACAGTTTCCATATGCTACTCAAAAGAAAATGTCAAACTTGATGAGCATTATTGCTGCTGCTGCTAAATGAACATTTTTACAGCTATTTATAGTTAGAGTTGTATTATGCTTTCTCTTATCAGAGTTATGAAAGCAAGTTTGGGGTTTTGGTTTGTGTGTTTTTTGAGGTTGTTTGATTTTTGATTTGGCTTTTTTAGACAGTGAAACATTCCATGCTGGCTAGAGAGCAAGAGCTAACTATAGGAAATTGCATCTTGGAGATCAGTGACTTAATTTTTACCACATTTCATATTTTGGTGAATGTGTTAGCATAAATGTGTGTGAGTACACGTATGAATTACAATGTGAGCATGCAGATATTAATGCTTCTGGGAGAAATCTGGACTGCTGTCCTCAGCACTCAGTGTGGTTACAAGGCATGAGAATATAAAGAAGGTTGGTTTGAGATTAAGGAATGGGAAATGAAAGGAGAGAATTGACAAGATAAATGGCAGCTTCCTTCACTTTGAAATGACTGTGAGCTGGCTGGAGAGAGGAGGTGGCATCTTGGAATATGAATTTTGTTCCTCACACTTGTTTGTTTCTTAGACTCAAAGCACTTAAATATAAAGGCATTGTTTTAACCACTGTTAAACCGTTGTTTCAGCTGTTTTAACCATGGTTTGAGGTGGTTGTATGATAATGATCCATCTTCATACCCTTATTCTATTCCTTTTTTTTCTTATTGTTTTCTAGACTCCTTGTTCTGTGAATACCTGTGGGCTAGTAAACTGACCACCTTTCTGTGGCTACCTCGGGGAGGGCAGAGCCCAAGGGTCCCATGGCCATCACTTGCCCCCAGTTCAGCTCCCAATATGAAAAGGGCTGACCCAACACACCAGAGGAGAAGCTGGATTTACTGTGGTCTGTGGAACCTGCCTTTGGGTACCAGCACCCAGTAACTTTCCAGGTTGGCTGTTTAAGAATATAGTGAGGGTGAAAAAATACTTGGAAATTGTTCACCAAGGGGAAAAAAAAAAAAAGGGCAAAAAAACACTGAATGGAAACTTCGCTGGCAAACTTAGGGTTGTATGTGTGTTTAAAGATGCTACTGCGAGATGCGTCAGGGAACTGAAATGTGGTGAAGTCAGTCTTCCCCCTGTAGGCAAAAGTCTATCACTTAACTCAGATTTAAGTGTTTCAAGTGTAAATGGCATAAAATGTACTGAGAGTTTATCACTTGTTTTGGTTCTTGTTTTGTTTCTGTTTTCTGGGGTGAATCATGTTCAGATGGAACATGAGGTGCAGCAAATGTCAAATGTTGGACTGAAATGGAGTATGCTTACTAGAGAGAGCTTGTGCTGGCTCTGAGAAAGGAGGAAGATGCCTTTGCCAGGATAAAGAGGCAAGATCAGGTGCTACAACTTCTTTCCTCTGTGAGTTGCGTTATTTTCCTTTCCCTGGTGCTATGTGGCTCAGAAAGGGCTTGTGAGAAGAAAACAATGGAGTAAAACACTCCCCACACAAGAAAGATGGATAGGACGGAACTGATCTGCTCTGTGAAATCTGCATGTTGTGCCCTTGCCTGGGGTGTGCCATGCCCTTAGTATTATGGGAGACCTAAGCTCACCTGCTAGTAATTTCTAATTTACTGTCCTAATTCATCGATTTGTTATCACTAATTGTACTTCATTTACTTCTGTGTAGTTTCCAGTACCTAAAGGGTTGAAAGGTTGCTGTAATTGGCACCCGCAGCTGCTCTTTCTTTTGACAGGGGATAATTTTGCAGCCTATGCTTTGTGTGACAGCTGCCTAATTGGGCATTCTCCCCTTGTAGCAAGCCTGCCTCCTCCAGCCTCCCTGCTGACAAATGGTGGTGGATTATAGATGAGGACACGCTGACCCGTTCGACCTTGCTGAGACAGCGGGGAGGGGCCTCCTGCTACTTGAGGGAAGCTTTGGGTCATTTAAAGGACAAGGTCATGAGCCAGGTGGGGAAATGACATGATATCACATGACAATAGCCCGGTGACATGGTCAGTGTGTCAAGGACAAACTCATCAGTATTGATTAACGCTGCTTTTTCCTGGTGTCTGTGCAAACCCACTGATACTTCAAAGATACGTTGCTGGTTTGCTCTAGGTAGAGTTCTAATTGCTATTTTGGGGGTTATTTGGGGGAGTATTTGTACAGTGTTTTCTGCTCAATACGGAACATGTGCAAAAGTGGTGTTGCTAAACGCACACACCCCCTCTCTCCCCGTATTCCTCCCCCAACAATCACTTATAGGGTTCATCTCAATGCTTTTGGCAAAATGTACATCTGCATGTACAGTAAGGAAAATGTCATGAAGGCTGCATGACAGGGCAGAACTTGAGGGGGGACAAAAATCCCTCCTTTTAAATTTCAGTATTTCACTTTTCACTGCTATGTGAAATGAACGTCTATGAACCCTTATGAAAACACATGTACCCACATATATACAGCTGTCTGGAATGTGGAAGAAGTGTTTAAATAAAGACAGCCAAAGAGAAAAGTTAAATATAAGTTGAATGTTTAAAGAAAGCCTTACATTAGCTTAAGGGCAATACAGTTAAGATAATGCCTTGTCTGTTTTGAGAACTAATGCAATACCCAGCTATGCCAGGCAATAAAAACCTGCTAAGTGGCTTTTAAAAAATGTGAATACAAGTGACAATATTTTGAGAGCATCTTCATGCTGCATTTCTATGCTAATAAACTTCAAGGTAAATGAGCAGCTTGTTTGACATTTGCTATGTTACAAATTCTTTCTTCTGGCGTAATTAGACTTGATAGATTGATTATGTTAAGAGGTAAAGATAAATATAATCAAAAAGAAAACTGTCTTGGAGGGAGTTATTGCCTTTTTTTGAACTTTTAACATTGTCATTCCTGTTTAGCCAATGCCTAATGGTGCGTCTAGCACAAACACACGTACCCATGCACTCACACACATGTGCACGCATATAAGCACCCACATACAGACACGTGCAACATGCAGCGAGTTCCTGAAGCAGCCTTTGAAGAGGGGTGTTCACCTAGGAGCACGGTTCCTGTTTCTGTGAGATCTGATTTGTTGTTGATAGCTGTTGTGTCTGAACCTCGTCACTTCATCAGGATGTAATTTTACTCCCCTGAGGTAAAAAGCAGTCAGTGGTAAAGTGTGATAAATTAGTGTTCTCAAGTAGATGCGCGTGAGTGTGTGTGTGTGTTTAATTCTGACCTTGCTGTGTATGTGTTTAGCTGCTCTTGGTGCCTGAGTCAAGCCTGGTGGAGGTTTAATCCTGTGCCCTTGTACACGTATACTTGATTAGTAGTTGTGGTTCTCTCAGCAGAAGACATTCTGCCCTCCTCCTTGTATTGGTCGGGACCCAGGCACTGGGGAGTCAAGTCGAAGGAGAAAGAAAAGAGATTTTGCATTAGTATTCTGTGAAAGCCTTACTGTCTGCAGAACAAATTGATTGCTACAGTGTACCTGTGCTTGGCACCACTGCTGTGAAAGAAAGGTATGGTTGTAATCTGTTTTATTGTATTACATATTGTGACACTCCAGGAATGTTTAACATTGGTCTCTTCGATGGCACATGCTAGAAGTCTAAGAAAAATGTGAATGAATGAATGAATGAATGAATGAATGAATGAAAAGTATGTGAGGCTGTCATATCGGCAGCTTTGTTTACTACAATGAACTAAGTAGCCCCTGCTAATGAGACTAAATTTATGTGCCAATGGCAATGTAAGGAGATGATTCACTGAATTTTCTGTATTGTACTCAGTTACTCACATCTGTGTCAGTAGTTGCTACATACCTACACAGATAAAATTCTAATTAACATTTTAAGGAGGCTTTGCTTCAGCTTTCAGCAAGATTGTAGATGTGAAATAGATGGATAGAACATGGATGTGTTTGCCTCTTTAAATGAAAATGTGAGGGGTTTTCCTACTTTTTAATCTGGTGCACTGGTCTTACATGGAGGCAGGGAGAGGGGGGTGAGGGGAGGTATGAAAATATGAGAACCTTAGATGTGCTGCTGTGATAAACAGAACAAGAACGAAGCTGAGGAAAAGTCTTGCAGGATTTGAGCCTTCAACTCGCCATCTCTTTATCTCCCCCTCTTCCTCCTCCTCCAGTGTAAATGAGCACGAATATTTTAATGAGGAAGCTAGTGCTCTTCATTTCCTTAACTCAGTTGCAGACTTTACACCGTTGGTTCTCTGGTTTTATAGATGCTCAGCTAATGTAGGTTGTGTGTTGATGGGAAGTATGAAGCACTCCATTAATAGAATTCAGGCTGTTCCACAGAGAGCTGTGCTTACTGCTTCGTTCTTGGCATCACTGAAGCTGTGTTGGTGATTATTTGGATGTTTGCTTGTGATCAGTCCAAAACATCTGAAGTATCTGCTCTTGTTGTGCAGACATTCCTGACTAATTAAGTTTAGGACAGGTGGCAGACTCCTGGGCATTTAAATCTGCATATAAACCTAATCTAATAATGTGATGAGAAAATGAAAATACATCTTTCCTGGTGTGTTATCACCATGCACAAGCCACTGAGGTGTCTGCAAAATCCTTTCTCTGCTCTTTGTCCTGGCAGGTGATGAGTAAACAAGTTGCTTTAAGGAAATTAGGGACTTGGAAAACACTGTATGCGGAGGAGCAGTCATGGACTATAATAGTTACTTCTGTCATATGGCCTTGCTGATTTAAGATTAACACTTCATAGATGTGCAGTATATTTATATGAGTGTACCCTTGAGCTTACATTTTACACCTTGCAAAGAGTGTGAATACAGTCTTATGCATGCAAGTCGTTGATCTTCAAGATCCTTCAACAGCTAAGAAAATTTCAAAGAGCCCTGGATAAGGAAGCTCTGTGATGTGACTGTACTCAACTAATGCTGTTGTTAAGTTTAACTAGGTAGTCATATCTGACTTATTCAAGGCAAATATTTTGTGAGTGAGCTGTTCTTCTGTATGGCATTTCTTTTTTTGGTTTTTTTGTTGCTTTTTTTTCAAATATAAACGTATGTTGTCATGATAAAAGTCAGTAAAAACAGTTGCACAATTCACACAGTAGATCACAAGATCAAGGGAGTACCACATTTAACAAGATTTGGGAATTCAACCGCAGTAATACTGCAGAAATGGTTAAATCTTCTCTTACACTCTGTATTGGCCTTTTTTAGACTTTAACTACCTAGTGACAGGTGGTCGAGCTCTGAAGAAGGTGTTAGATAAATAGAGGGCAGTACTCCATTTCAATGCAATTAACTTTTGTTCATAAATAATTCAACCTGTGACTTTAAATAAATGATTAGAGGAAAAGAAAATGACATGTGATTAAATCCAAGTCCTTGGAAACATTTTACCAGTCAAGATTGCTGTGGCTGCTTTGAGACTTCTTACAATTCCCCTTTTCAGTAGATCCAGTCCTGGCAGTTGTGGGTTTTTTGGTTTGTTTTGTTTTCATCAGTTATTAGTGTCTCAGTAGAGATATGAGGTATACTCTTTACTCTATAGTTAAAAGAGGACTGATGAGTGTGTGGTTTTGATACCTCAGTTTTCCTAGTGCCATCAGCTTGAGCAGCATGTGATTTTTACCTGTTTTTTTTTTTTTTTTTTTTTGGTTTTTTTTTTTTTTTTTGTCCTTGTTGTTTGGGGTTTTTATGGAAAATAGAAGGATGTTTGCAGAATTAAAACTTTTTTTGTCAGCTTTACTGAATGAACATGTACTGAATCTTCAGGTAACACTAAAATCTTCATGAGAATTTTGCAACACAGCTTGGCCTGGGCTGGAGTGAGCTACTATATCTGGGGGAGGGGGAACCCCTCAGGCCCCTTGCACCCAAACCTTCCCCCCCAAAAAAAACCAACAGAAAACAAAAACCAACCAACCAACCAACCAAAAAACAAACAAAAAACTCGTACCAAAAAAAAACCCCAAACCC